AGTATATATACTGTTTAGTGAGTCTGAATAACGTCCGCGCTATTCAAAGTTCACCCGCGACTGAAAGTATTGTAATACTACTCACACTTTAACGGACTCAATAGGAAGAGTTCATTTCACAATGTAACGCATCCCTTTATGTGCATAACACTACAATTAACAAAGAGGTCATTGGCTACCGAACGGGTATTGTTAGATAGCTATCATGGTTAAATTTGTATTGAATCACCCCAACATCATAGAGTCGCCTAAAAGGCTCCTGACATGTCTGAGCTTGTTTAAACTCCCTTCAACGGATCACTACACAGCTCTTTTATATAGGTTACTACATACGGTGGACAGAAGGCTGTAAGGGCAGCGTCCCGCATACCACTCTGATGAGTCACCATATCCACAGAGCAGTTTACTCTCAACATGAAAACACTATTGACACACAATATTACATGCATGCTTTTAACGACGCAGCAGTATGTATGTAAACTATCGCATTTACTTAAGATATGCGAGTAGCTTTATCGAATGTTGTCTGTTTGCATTACAACATAGTTAATTGTCCATGAACACACACGCTATTTTAGGTTTTGAAATATTCGTGTTAACATGCAGCCGAACTCCACTGGGATTTGAATGTATAACGGTTGGTATATATTTAGCGCGGGCTTTCCCCGGCTATTGCCCAACACCTTGCTAGTTGTTTAAGAACTGTGACGTCACGCCGTACCTGCGTTAGAACCGGCGTTAGAACCGGCGTTTATAATTCATCAGTTCGGGAAAAATCACCGTTTGAAATTGTCCAAATTGATGTCAGAGGCCTCTGTTAGGGTGCATGCGCGACACCATGGTGGTTATTTTAAATTAGTTAGATAGCCAATGTATGAATCCTGTGGCACCCTGTGGCACCCGTCACAAACACATGCAAAGCAAAGTAAATTGTTCAGGTGACAAAAACACGGGAACACGTGGTGCAAGTCAGCATAAACGTTCGACTCCACACAATGGAACATTAAAGGATTTATTTTATGTGTTACATATTTCTCAATTAGTTTGTATTTATACATACTTTTTTTAATATCAATTCCGTCAGCAACTTTTGTCTTTCTTGGCAGCCATTTCCTGCGGTATTGTTTCTTAAGTTGGACGTGGGATGGCTTCGGCGTTTTCAGCTAGTTAATGCATCTATTAGGGTTGTTTCATGGGCAGAACACACATACATTGACAATTACGTTGAAAAGTATATTCTAGATAATCCTTAAACCACTTAACATTAGTACATAGCCCAATATACCAGCATAGGCTTGTTCATTTCCCGAGGCAAGTTTCTGTGAAGTATTTTGCTGATATCACAAATTATGCCTGACTTATTTCCTATAATCTACCACACTGGCACTATACTGGAGGCATACGATGGCTGATTTCAGTTTGAATCTCCTGTCTGAATCTCGAGCGAGGATTTGTGAGATGACTCTTATGTATCAGGATAAAAGTCTATTTTAAGACTTAAGTTGAACAGCTCATTAATATTTCGTGGGTACTATTGAAGACGATGATTGAAGGGATCTGATCATAGCATTCAGCATTAGCATTGTCGAGTGAGAAGAGTGAGTGAGGTAGCCGCTTTGAACAGTATTCAAGCTATATCACGGCACGTTTGCTTTATGTGGACGATAGCCCAAAGTTTACCACTTTGGTGAAACCCACGAGCACGGTTATGGTGCTGACAAACTTAGAGACATAACCGAGGCGAACTGGGATTCGAACAAACGACCACAGGTTTTTGGTGTGCCCTGAGGACGGAATGAGAAGAGTGAGTTAAATTTTAACGTCTCATCGGCATTATTTCAGCCAAAAACGATGGAATGAAAAGAAAATATCGTGATAAGATAATATATGTTACACAGAATATATTCGGAGGATTTAGGATTAGGTTTCCAGCAACCTATACTTGCCCGACATCGTTTGCTGATTATATCAATCATATGTTTGTCTTGTTCAAGCGACAGATATGATAGATATGGTTAATTCAGGGACAATGGATATTATGAACCGTATGACGAAACCCGTCCACTGGAATGAATGATCGATTATGCCATTTAATGAGCACCATTTTTACATAGAAAGTCGTTCTACTAAGGGCATTTACATCGTGTTAGTCGCTATATGGCTGAAATAATGCCGATGCGACGTTAGATTTTAACTCCCTCACTAACATCGTGAAAATTGACCCCCTGAACATGAATTGCAACCCCCTACCCCATAGTCCCTTGTCAGTAGTTGTTTACTATTGCCCCCGTGTGTATTCCGGGTAACAATAGATCCGATGATTTGATTTATTATGCGTTAGAGTTCCCAGACCGGGCGGGACATCGTTCACAATACACAATTTTTGTGTAATTATCCCCTTGCAAGAAATCATTTTAAATCAGATTTTAGGGGGCACTCGTGAAGAGCAACCTCCCCGTGGTGAGTGCTGGGTAACGCCAATCGCTCTTCCCCGTTTGGACCCGAGGTAGAATGTGTCCACGGCACCCCACTGCTTGTCGTAAGAGGCGACAAAATTGGGCAACCTGTTTGGCGTGGTTTGCGTCCCTGTGTCGGTGGAGGAAGGGATTCAGTTGGTTGAGGGCACTGGAGCCAGGAACCGGTGTTCCTTTTGCCCAACACACCACTTCGACCCTAACTTCACTTAGACGGGTGGTAGAATGGGCCCGGTTCTATCAATCGGCTGGTCACGCCATGCCATCTGTGTATGGGCAACATTTATATTGAAATTCTTCTGCATTATTTGATTGCTGTAGTTGAATGTTGTTTATGAAAATGTTATCGTCTATGGTGGAGCCTGCAAAAGTAATTAAAAAAAACTGGATACTAAGGGCCTTGGAGCCTTTAGAACGTCTCCCATTCACAGTCGACCTGTGAAAAATGCGGGGTAGAAAAGGTCTTCAGCAACCCATGCTTGCAGTAAAAGGCGACTAACGGGATCGGGTGGCCAGGCGCGCTGACTTGGTTGATGCATGTCATCGATTGCGTGGATCGATGCTCATGATATCAAATACACTGGATTGTCTGGTCCAGACTCGATTATAAACAGACCACCGTCATTTAGCTGGAATATTGCTGAGTGCGGCGTGAAACAACAAACCAACCAACCAACCAACCCATTCACGGTCTGTATGTAGAAGCGGATGAACCTTCTCATAAACAACGCCGTCTAAAATTATCTTTACAATAAGTCACTAAATTATACTCTTATCAGTCAAATCCAGCTTTTAATTGCGTCTTTAATCCTCTTTACCAAGATATTTATAATAAAAAATCATCTCTTGTTCCACCACTTGGAATCAGAACCCAGTCTGCCATGTCTGCTGCTAATATAAAACTGCAAGATATAGCTCCCTCTCAACTGTTTTCATCACCTCCTTGGCAAATGGTAAGGCCAGAGGTAGACCGCACATTAACCAAATTAAAGAAATCAGACACTAATCAACTAATTTACCAACAAGAATACAGTCAATTAAGAGACAATTATGACACTTTTAAATCTATATTTACTGATGTATCCAAGGATGCTGGTGCTGTTGCTAGTGCCACTGTCATTGGACCCAGAACAATATCTTCACGGTTACCTGATAACAGTTGCATCTTTACAGCAGAAGCGAACGCCATTTTTACCACACTAAAATATATCAACAACCAATCTAAATATAAACAGTTCATTATTTTTTTCAGATTCTCTTTCATGCCTTCAGGCAATTAAAAATATATCATATAAGCATCCACTTGTCATCCAAATTCTTGAATTATTCAAATCTGTGACACCACTTCTGATCCCATACGGTGATTATAAGACTAGTATTAGATGTTACATCCGAGATCTAATGTAAAAGAAGTGGGACACCCAGGTAGGTATAAATAAATTACATGAAATTAAACCAGATATCGGTTACACCTACTTGGGCTGTCAGTCCAGATTTCAAGAGGCCATTATGCGACGATGTCGTATTGGCCATTGCAGATATACACACGAGTATTTGTTGAAAGGTTTTGCATCCCTTGTGATAAAAGATTCACGGTCAAGCATGTCCTGCTTGACTGTATTGATTTTTCCATGACAAGGGATAACTATTTCAAAGTTTCATTCTTCAAGGATCTTTTTAATCTTAGTTCTCATTTAATCATCGTTTTTTATAAAGGAAATTAAATTATTACATTAATTTTGAATGCTATTTTCTGTATATAATCAGTGTTTTAATAGGTTGAATAAAATGCATAACTGAGATTGTTAGTGGCTGTATCCTCGAAGGGGGTTAAAGTAGTGTAAAACTATTGTCCCCATGAGAGGGTATGTAAGACCACGTCTTTCAAAGTATATTTATTTGTACCACTTTTTAAATCGTAGCATATGTGTTCTTTTAATGTTTGCTAAAATTGTCAATAATCGCCAACAGCTGACGGGATGATGTAAATCCGGCTGGGGTCAATGCAGGTAGCAAAAATAAAAAAAGTCCCAATGGACCCTAGTATGGTGTTCTCTCTTCAGTGCCTGGCGATCTATAGCTCATTTTTTATCTTGTATTGTTAGGTATGGTGTTATATTTTTATGGCTATCTACTAGTTTTAAATATAATCTGTGATAAATCTAGTTATTTTACTGTCCTTTGTTGACAGGTTTTTATTTAGTCTATATATATGTATTATTAATGTCCTTCTCGTCACGTTATGGCTGAAATACTGCCGATGTGACGTTAAATATTACCTCACTCACTCACTCACTCAGATTTTAGGGCAATGGGGAGCGGTATTCATATTCTCGTCAAAGTCATCTCACCGCAAAGATAAAACATTAATACGTGATAATTACACAAAATAGTAAGTGAACTGAAAGATGAAGGGTTTTATTTGTCACCTGTCATTGATAAGATCATACGGTGCCTTAGGGGAAATATATATTTTATGTATATTATGAGTTAAAAGACAACATATATAGCAGACGAAATCTGTACTTGTTCAAGAGCGGATGCATGCCGAACCTCGAAATGGCAGTTGCTCAAATATGCTGTCTTCTTCTGATAGTATTTCTCAAACGAGTAGATGGTCAAGGTAATGATACGGTGCCGCATCTTCTTGGAAGTAACTGCATTAGCCAGAGAGACATTAACTAGAGGTTTAGACAAGCTAGACGAGCTAGAAGTTTGTATGTCATTCGCGGTAGATAGTGAGTCATTGCTGTCTTACCTCAAGTATAGCATCGTGTTCTCCTTTGCCGGGAGCCCAAATATTGATTTGTAAGCTTCACATCCAGAGTGGTAGGTTGGCAAATGGTAAAACCGTGTGCTCGTCATTCTGAAGACACGTGTTCCATTGCCCGTAAGTGTCAGCTCCTACGCTCCTGCGGACACGACTAGAGATATCTTCAGTGTGGTGTGAAGACCAACTCGCCACTATCTCATTTCCTTGAAATTGTCATGTTTCCTGTAACACCTGACGACAAGGTATGTTTTTTTCATGATTTGGGAACAGACTGTTTTTTTCAAAAATATTTCAGGCCCTTAACAAGAACATAAACAGTTCGGTCTCCAATTTTGTTACTCCTCAGGGTTCAAGTGAAGCATGTTTTTGTTGCATTGATTGTATTAGATTATTTGAGCCACGGTATTTCAAAATTACCTTTTTTGTGAAAAACAGACATGATTAACGACAATGACCCACGATTAGATTTGTTCTTAATTTCTTTTCACTATTTCAGCATGCCCATCAACCGGATTCTCATGTGTTAGCAACTGTAATGCCGCAGGAGTAGTTCCCACTTTCACGTGTCCAATTGGTCAGGTGTGCTGTTTAGGTAAGCTTTGTTTATTTGTATTTTGTTTAACCGCCGCACTCAGAAATATCCAAGCTATATGACGGCGATCTGTAAATAATCAAATCTGGAACAGACGTTAATGGCAATATGACTTTGTTACTTCGCTTTCATAAGCTCAAGAAGCAGGCTCTATATTGCTCTAAAGGATTCGCAGTCCTTGGACACCTCCACAAATGATATATATGAACATTGGAAAAGGGAAATAGAATGCCACCACAAATTTCAATCAATTTGGTTTTAATCGAGTTCTTTATCCCTGTCAGTGGATCAGTGTGCAAGTGTCGATATGGCAAGGACAGAATATCCTATCAGATGAATGTAAAAGTTTGGAACCACACTGCACATACTACGAACGCTCAGGCAAGGAGCGCAAGAGCAGCATATTTAGAATGTGCCAGTTTCCGTAGAATGTAAAATTTATGACCACTTCCATGCTTTGTTTGATGAAAACATCGTTCCCTCAAACCGTGCACTTCCGTATATCGTCCGAAAGTTTACGTCTGTAATAAGCATATGTGTCAAACAAATTAGATCGTCGAAATTTACGGTCTTTTCCAGAGCATCATTAGTCTACGCTTTGTTGGTGTCACGTTTTTTCTTATAGCATATTCACAGATTGGTAGGGTTACTACATGTGTACTAATCTGTGTAAGATTTATCTCACATGATGCCTAGTCGTCAGTCTGCTTTGATCCGCACTCTGCTGAAGTCGCTGTCTCAAAGGACGTGTACATGGTATAAATACTGTTGCAACGTTCTTATTTCTTCACATGGTTTAACCAAATTAAAGAACATTCAACTGAAGTTGTCTGGCTTTCCAACAATATCAAAAATCATCAAATCCAAAGGTGATCTGCACTGCTTACCCATCACAGGAAGATAGATGTGACATAGCGAGACATACATGAGCTGTTTGATATGATACAATCCACTTCACAAAACACGTAGGACGTTAAATATTATCTCAAGCACTCTCACAAAACACGAGGTCAAACCACATGCACCTTTCCATACGACCAACTCACAGTGTCTGGAGATCACTGACCAACTATTAGCCTTCGCAAATTCAAATGCACAGTGTAACGTCATTGAACGAAAAAAAAAAACGTTCGCTGATTTTATAAAAAACATATCGAAAAAGAGATAACTTTTGTGAGGTTATCATACAATATTAGAGAGAACACTGTTCCTCACTAATTTAAGAACATAAAATAAAAAAAACATGCTTATAAACGTACCTTTTACCATATTTATATATTAACGATTATATACTGAACAACAAAAGTTCCTGTGACACAAATATTTTAGTGTATTTTTCAAACAAGTAAAGTTTGGTTTGCAATATTGTATTACATGTATGGAATCAAGTCACAAAAACGCAACTGTTACAGAAAAGCATGCATTCCATGCAAAAGTTGACTTTTATGCAAGCCCCATGCATTCACTACCCAAGCATGGGTATAAAAACATGTGCGTTAACGGGATTCAATGTGCATTGTTTAGCATCGTGTTGACAACATCCACTCAGAAAAACAAGAAAATTACGCTATTATTCAACATTACGAAATGCCACGTCTGTCCGAAAATGAGCGTCTGCGAGCCATTGGTATGCTTGAAGCAGGATCGAGTCAACGTGATGTTGCAAGACAATTTCACGTCCACAGAAACACCATTTGGTGTTTATGGCAACGTTGGCAACAAACGAATGCAGTCAGAGACCATCCTCGGAGTGGCAGGCCACACGTAACCAATTATCGACAAGACACTGGATTCGAACAAGACACCTACGAAATCGATTCCAGCCAGCAACAGTGACTGCAAGAAGCACCCCAGGCCTTCGACGAATATCTTCACAAGCCGTACGTCGCCGCCTCAGATGTGCAAGGATTGTCGCCAGAAGACCTGTCAGACGTCCCATTTTGACAGGAAACCACCGTCTACGTCAAGCACGTCTACAGTGGTGCAGACAGTGTCTACGCTGGACGGCCATGCAGTGGGGACAAGTTCTATTCACTGACGAGTCTCGTTTTCACCTCAGCCACAGCGATGGACGGGTTCGAGTGTACCGACGTCGAGGTGAACGTTACGTCAATCATTGTGTCATGGAAGAAGATCGGTTTGGGGGCGGCAGCGTTATGGTATGGGGTGGGATTACAGCAAGACAAAGGACCAGTTTGATAGTAGTAGACGGAAATCTCTATGGACAGCGCTACCGCTACGAGATCATCGGCACTGTTGTTCTACCGTTTTTGCGTCGTCATTCAGTATAGTTATCTTTTAATATCATAGATCTGAATATTTTCTGTCAATCAATATCATTAACAGAATTACTGTCCTTTCGTGTCTCTTTTTTATATTATACATTTATATACCACAGGTATTCAGGTACTAGTATCTGCACAAATGCGGATTTAGTTGCTCCCCAACAAGTGGATCGTTTGTATGCCAGTAATCATTCTCAACTCCCTGAGGAGTTTTGAACCCAAGTTAAAATTTAACATCACATCGGCATTATCTCAGCCATATAGCGACGAGACCAAGTTAATATATTTACATGGAGGTAACTCCATCTCAACATGAAACCAATAGGAGTACCACAAAGTCTTCCTCACGTTCGCGTGACATTTCTCCAGTGGAAGCACCACCATGAATCTACACAACATAATGCAATGGAATTGCAGAGGTCTTAAGAAGAATATTAATGAAATACAACTTTTAATGCAATATTATAAACCGTCAGCTTTTTGTCTCTAAGAAACGTATCTAAAAAACGCAGATCTATTTGATATCCGTCAGTACAGTTCTTACCACTCCTTTTCCCCTCCTGATGATAAAGCCACAGGAGGTTCTTCTATCCTGGTAAAACAGAGCATAATCCATATCCCTGTTCCACTCAACACTAATCTACAAGCTGTTGTTGTCCGTGTTACTTTGAACATAGTATTTACATTATGTTCACTGTATCTTCCACCTTACTCAACTATCCGTCAATCAGATTTTCAGACTTTGTACCATCAGCTCCCAAAGCCCTGTATCATCATGGGCGATTTAAACGGTCATAATCCCCTATGTGGGAGTACTGTTACAAACAAGGGAAATGTCCTTGAAGATTTTATCTCAAACAATGATTTATGCATCTTCAATGATGGTAATATTACATATCTGCATCCTGCTCCTGGCACATACTCTGCCCTAGATCTTTCACTGACAGATTCAAATAGTTGAAATGAATTTGAATGGTCAGTCCATGATGACCTTTGTGGAAGTGACCATTTTCCAATAATACTTACAACTATTAATCCGTCTGACGAACCACCTTCAACACGGTGGAACTTTACAAAGGCCAACTGGTCTTTATTCCATAATATGTACTGTAAAACGAATACCCAAAGTTTCAGGAATGTTCCTGATCCTATACAACCTTTTTTAAGATATATCAAATGATATTGGAGACGAAAGCAATTCTAAGTCTTCGTCAAACCCTCATATACGTAAACCATGGTTCGATAATAATTGTAAAGAAGCTAGGAAAAATAGGAAGATAGCCGAGAAATATTTAGACGACATCCGACTTTCCACAATTTGAATAATGTTACAATCCCAGGCGCTAAAGCGAGACGTACCTTTAAACAGAATAAACGTCAATCCTGGAGGAACTATGTTTCAAAAATCAATTCCCGGACACCCATGTCCAAGGTGTGGAACATGATTCAAAAGATTAAGGGAAAAGGGTCAAAATCTGGAGTTCACCATATCAAAGATGGTAATACACTTTTAACCACTAAATCTGAAATAGCCAACAAACTTGGTGTCACTTTGGCAAATCCTTCCTCATCATCAGACTATAATCCTCAATTCCAGAGGTTTCAAAATCAGCAGGAAAAGAAAACAGTAAATTTTAACTCTCATAATAGTGAGGACGATAACGAAACATTTTCACTCCATGAATTATATACTGCCCCAGGGCTATCTCATGACACTGCAGCAGGAGCCGACAACATCCACTATCAGCTTCTGAAACACATGCCCAATTCATGTTTGGAAACGTTACTGAATATATTTGATGAAATATTGACAACCGGAAATTTTCCTCCTTCATGGCACAATAGGAATATATGAATACAATAGAAAGACAGCTACAGCTCTTTCTTGACAAAATTCAAAAATGGGCCAACGAAAACGGCTTCAAATTTTCTAAATCCCAAACAAACTGTATTCACTTTTGTCGTAAATACAAACCAAGGATCCAGATTTATTTTCAGATGGTACTCCTATCAAGGTAGTAGAATAAGCCATTTTCCTGGGCCTCATATTTGACCGTCTTCTCACAATCTTACCACACATCAAATGTCTAAAGGCAAAGTGCCTGAAGGCTCTCGACTTGTTAAAAGTCATTCCAAATTCCGAGTGGGGAGGGGATCAGACAACTCTCCTTCACTTGTACAGATCGTTAATACCCTCTAAACTAGACTATGGTTCCAGCTCAGCTCAAAAAGTCCGAAACAAATCCTATTACCAATTACTTTCAAAATACAATTCTCACAGATCCATTTTTACAGACGGGTCCAAGGATGGTGGCAAAGTTGCTAGTGCCACTATCATTCGATCCAGAAATGCCTCCTAAAGAATCCCAGATTCTAGTTCAATTTTTACTGCTGAGGCGAAAGCTATCTTTACAGCTTTGACCTATATATAACATCAAACCCAATCTAAAAAAATCATCATCTTTTCTGATTCATTATCTTGCCTTCAGGCACTGACAAGCGTCTCCTCAAATCATCCCATAATCCTTGACATTTTAGAACTTTTCAATGATCTTTCTACTGGCCAATGTGACATCGTCTTTTGCTGGTTGCCAAGTCATGTAGGCATAATAGGTAACTCAAAAGCCGATTTTGCAGCTAAATCAGCTCTTGACCAACCGTGATCTCCACTACATATCCCGTACAGTGATTTCAAACCAACAATTGCGAGTTTTACTGGGGGTCTCATGCAAAAGAGGTGGGACACCCAAGTAGGAAGAAACAAACTTCACGAATTAAAACCAACAATCGGTCATACCAATTTGGGTTGTTAGTCATGATATGACGAGATCGTTTTACTACGATGTCGTATTGGCCACAGTCGGTTCACACACGAATATCGGCTTAAGACAGATGAGGACGAACCTCCTAAGTGTATCCCTTGTGATGAAAGGTTCACCGTCAAGCATATATTGCTTGACTGTGTGGACTTTGCAATGGCAAGGGATTCACATTTTCAAGGCGTAAATCTGAAAGATCTCTTTTCACGTGTCAGCGGGCATCTTATTATCAGCTATTTGAAAGAAATTGGTCTTTACAATAAATTTTAAATATGTATGTGAATAAGTAAATGCTTGTTTTTAAATTTTGTGTGATGCTATTATTTCCTGACTTTATTGAAGGCTCTGTCCAGGGGGTAAAATATTGTAAAATTATTGTCCCCCTGTGTGACACATAATCCTATCATAATCGATGTAACTATCATCAACCAGTGTAAAATTTTTAAGCCAACTCATTGCTGAGTATTTTTTACTATTGGCTAGTACTGTTCATGACCACCAGTGGCTGAAGTGATGATGTAAATCCTGCTGGGGTATCATGCAGGTAGCAGAGGTACTGTAAGTCCCCATGACCCAAGAGTGAGGTGTCCTAGCTTTGGTTACTGGTGGCCAAAAGCCCGTGTTTAAAACTGTATATGTAATATTGTTATGCTCAAATATGTTTCATAAATTGTTTCAAAATATATTTTTCTCAAATGTTTCACAACTTGTTTTTAAATAAAAAATTTGCATTAATAACTAAATTGTAAATATATTAACTTGGTCTCGCCACTATATGGCTGAAATAATGCCGATGCGATGTTAAATTTTAACTCACTCACTCACCCTAGGCACCAAGAAGTTTAAAGATGGGCAGTGTATTTTATATTTTGCCATAAGTAGCCATCAGTGGTTCTAATGTAGAGTTTTACAGACGTATCTGATCCAATACAAGTTTTTTTCTGACGAACTGAATAAAATATCTGATACCTGTATTCCTAAGTCCTCTGCAAATCCTCACATCCGTAAACCATGGTTTACTAATGACTGTTAACAAGCTAGGAAGGCAAGGCAACAAGCTGAACACTATTTCCGTTGGCATCCTATGGTCCAGAATGTGAATAAATATAAAGTTTTAAATGCTAAAGCCAGACGGACATTTAAACCTAATAAACGCCAATCTTAGCAGAACTATGTTAGAAAAATGAATTCACGAACTCCGATGTCCAAAGTATGGAACATGATCCAAAAGATCAAAGGTAAGGGCTCTAAATCCAGCATCAACCATCTTAAAAATGGGGATGAATTGCTTACTCGTAGTTCAGATATTGCTAATAAACTGGGAGAAAATTTGGCAACACAATCTTCCTCGACTTACTATGTACCTAAACAATAAAAAAATACCAACAGCAGCAGGAAAAGAAAAACACTTTTTTAAAATCAGAAAATGGGGAAGACTACAATGAAATATTTTCCATTCATAAACTCAAAACTGCCCTTGGGCAGGCTCACGATACTGCTACAGAAGCTGATAACCTACATTATCAACTCCTGAAACATTTACCAGAACCTTGTTCAGAATCTCTCTTGCTTCTATTTGACAATCTTTGGACAACTGGTAAGTTTCCGTCATCATGACGTGATGCCATAGTTGTTCCCTTACCAAAACCGGGACGGGATTATACCGATCCCTCAAATTATAGACCCATTTCATTGACTACCTGTGTTTGCAAAACCATGGAACGCATGGTCGATAATAGCCTGACATGGTACTTAGAATCCAATAATTTAATAACAAATATTCAATGTGGTTTTTGTATACATGTAAATCGCAGAACCATTGACCATTTAATTCGATTAGTCATTCGTTAAGAATGCAATCATAAACAAACAACATGCAGTTTCTAACTTTTTCGATCTAGAAAAAGCTTATGCAACTGCATGGAAGCACGGTATTATAAAAGATTTACATGATTGCGAGGCTGTTTACCTTAATTGGTATTCGCATGGGTTCTACCCTTAGTGGTCATTATAATTAGTGTCCCACAAGGCAATATTTTGTCTGTCTTTAATTTTTAAATAATTCACTTGATGGATCACTTTTTGTGGATGATCTTAACTTATATTGTCGTGGTAAAAATATGCATACTATCAAAAGACATGCAATGATGTCTAGCTAAAATACTTAAATCGTCCTTAGAAAACGGTTTTAAATGTTCGAAATAAATAAATAAAAAAATTGTATTCACTTTTGTAGGAAATACAAGCCCTGAAGGCCCTAGACTTGATGAAAGTCGTTTCCAATTCAACGTGGGGTGGGGATCAGAAAACTCTACTCCACCTGTATCGATCGCTGATTTTCTTTAAAATAGATTATGGCTCCATTGTTTATGGTCGAGCCTGCAAAAGTATTTAAAAAAAATACTGGATATCATTCATCATCAAGGTCTGAGGTTTTGCCTTTGGGCCTTCAGAATTTCTCGTATTAATAGTCTGTAAGAGGAGGCTGACGAGCCATCCCCGAAACACCGTCGCTTAAAATTAGCATTGCAATATGTTACAAAACTTTCTTCCAATCCATCTAATCATACATATGAAAGTGTTTTTTCACCCTTCTTATGAGGATTTGTATGAACCCAAAACAGCGCTTATTCCACCACTTGGAATAAGAATAAAACCTGCCATTTCTGATGCTAACATTAACCTTACAGTTATACCTCCCACTCAGATTTTGTCTTCTCCTCCGTGGCAGTTTACAAAGCCACAGGTCAATCTGACGTAAACCAATCTAAAGAAGAGGAACCTATAACGCTTACAAATCTATTTTGAAGATGGCTTTGTAGTTGCTAGTGCCCCTGTCACTGGATCCAACACCATATCATCAAGAATACCAGACGCCAGTTCAATTTTACAGCAGAATCAAAGTCAATCCTGTAACAGCTCTCCAATATATACATACACATTCTAAACATAAACAGTTCATCATATTTTCTGATTTCCTTTCCTGTCTTCGGGCCATTAAAAATATTTCCTGTGACCATTCACTTTTGAAATCAACAAAATGATCTTGCTACTGGCCAATATGACATCATCTTTTGGTGGTTACCCAGCAAGGTTGGTAATATTGGTAACACAATGGCCGATGCTGTGGCAAAAGCAGCGCTCAAAAAATCTTTGACGCAACTTCTAACCCAATATAGTGATTATAAGCCCGCTATTAGATATTACATCAGAGATCTAATGCAAAAGAAGTTGGACACCCAAATAGGTATCAATTAGTTACATGAAATTAAACCAACTATAGGTTACACCTACTTGGGCTATCAGTCCAGATTTGAAGAGGTCACAAAAAGACGATGTCGTATTGGCCATTCCCAATACACTCACGAGTATTCACTGAAAGGTGAGGATATTCCGTTTTGTATCCCCTATGATGAGAGAATCATGGTCAATCATGTCCTGCTTAACTGTATTGATTTTTCCATCACAAGGGATCAATATTTCAAAGTTTCATCACTCAAGGATCTTTTCAAAATAAACTCCCATTAATTCTTGGATTTTTAAAAGAAATTGAATTAATTAAAAAAAATAATGTTAGAAAGTTATATATTGTATTAATTGGTAGTATTTGATGATGAACTGAGATTGTTAGTGGCTGTACCCTTGATGGGGTTGAAGAAGCATAAAATTATTGTCCCCCTCAGAGGGGACGTAAGCCCATGCCATTCAAAGTATTTTATATCTACCAGTATTTTAATCGTAGAAAATGTGTTTGTTTTAATCTTTGGCTAACCTTCTCCATAATCACCAGTGACTCAAGGAATGGTGTCAATCCTGCTGGGGTCCATGCATCTAGCAAAGGTACTGTAAGTCCCCATGCATGGTCCCCAGTATGGTGGCCTATATTTGGTTGCTGGAGATATATAGCCCACTTTTATATTGTGTTGTTATTAATAATTAAGTTTTATGGTCAGTTACTAGTTGTACACCTATATCTGTGGTAATCTATATTCTAAATGTTTGTCTTTTATGATTTGATATAGTCAATATATGGCTGAAATATTGCCGAAGTGACTATAAATATTAACTCACTCACTCTAATGTAGAGATGTTTCTGGAGTCGTTGTTTTAGAGTGTATAAGAAAGATGTATTACAACGTAAACAAAAACAGTATCCTCATTGAAGAATGGAGCTGTATTACCCTAACATCCATTGCACTGTTTCAGATCCCTTTATAATACCGACAACAACCATGCCACGTAAGTCCTTCTGAATTCGTCCTTCAAGTAAATAACTTAAATAAATAAAAAGCTTGACTTGATTCATCTTCTGGGACCAACTATGGGGGAGGGGGGTGACTGGGATTTTGTATTGAGACCAGATATATTTTTCATCTACAGCTGAATATCCAGCTCTTATTTTTTTATTATTAAACTACAAGCCAAAGTATATTTTGTGTCTCTAAAAAACACATTTCAACAATATGATTAGTATGGCAAACAATCTCATTGTTTTCAAACTTTGTAAAGCATAGGTTTTTCTCTCAAGATTTTTCGGGACATTTTATGTTTTTCAAAAAAATCCCAGTGACCTCGCAAACCCCCTATCCCCGCCAACATGATCAAGTGGTCGGATCCTCAGATCGATATATTTGTAACATAACATAAAATTGCTGTTCAATCGATCCAGTAAAATGAAGTTAGTAAGTGTTTTATCATTATCAGAAAATGATTTCCAAATGTGCATATGATGGGTTTTCACACATACTTGTTCTAATTACCTCCCGAATACTTTGATGAACGTTTTTTTCAGCCTGCACTTTTGCCGGGATCTCATGTGTTGCCAATAGTAACTGTAACCCCACAGGAATTGTTGCTACTCGGCAGTGTCCAAGTGGTCAGGTGTGCTGTGTCGGTAAGTGGTCTGACCTCTTTTGAACTTGAAACAGTTGCATTCTTTCCAGAGTGTTAACTTTATTTTTATGATCCTGCGATCAAGGAATTGTGTATAATTATAGTGGAAAACTCTACACAAACATAAAGAATATGTGTGAAATGAATTGTATAAAATGTTGTATGAATCTTCGTTTCTGATGTCCTTGGTGTTAACGTTTGAAGATACTCCATGGTATAATTAGAAGTTAATCTAATAAGTGATTTAACCTAATACCTTTTACCATGATACCTTTTACTTGAGTGAATGATATCCATAAGATTGTTTGCTAAATGTATAACCAGGATACTTGTGTCAGGGTACCTTGTGTGTACTAGTCCAAGAGATGGAAGCAATTTATTTCACACAAGAGGTCCTTACAAGTTAATGCTTGTTTCGAAGACAAAAAAGGCTGAATTTTCCAAAAATGTTTGTCTTACAAAAATCTGATGGTCCATTTTCACACTAGGGGGCGCTGAAGTCATGACTCAGCACATATTTTTGTATTATACCTCTGACAAGTAAATGGATGTTTTCATAGTTTTTTTTTAAATGTTTGGTGTCAAAATAAAGAGAATACAACAACCTACACAGTCATACACAAAAATTAAGCGTTCAGATATATTTCTGGTGCAATAATAACTAAGTGCAAAAATAATCAATATTGACACTTTTCGTTCTATATCCTTCCTTTGCATGAAAAAAGCAACATTGTATTGTCTTTAACATATGACACATATTGTTATTTAAGCTATTTACTTTAGTTTCTCTGTCAGCTAAGTGAGATGTATGTCCAGCTCACATCGTCAAGACATGACAAACATTAATCTCCTTCATCTGTGTCTGTGTCATTTCCACTGTCCGAACTGTGACTCATGCTTGCATCAGCATCATCTACGTCTAAGTCATCAGGGATGGTTGTCAGTTCCTTTGTGATGCAGCTTGTCATGCTCCATCTACTAGCTTCCAGACATGTCCTTCTGGTGCATATTTAACTGGAGTTGGCGTGTGAGCATTTCTCCAAACACTCGACACAAAGTTTGTTCGTTTGATCTTCTCAACCAATGATCTCTTGGATGGTTGAAACACACCCTCGAATCCTGTGAAGTGGAGCAGAATAAAATACTAAATCGAATGTCATTTATGCCAGACATCTCTGGCCTGGAATATAAGGCGCACACAAACTTCCCAATTCCAGAAACAATGTTTTGTGATAGTATCTGTGACAACCCCACACATTTAAATGTTGACTTCAAGGCTTCTGATGACTGGGCCGTTTGCAAGGGTCGACACTTTCCCTTTCTGATGAATGCAGCTGTATAGTCGCACCCTGTGAAAGCGTTTACAGACGGAAGTACTTGACACATGTCTTCACCAACTACATTTTCCTGAGACAATATGTGAATAGACTGAGATCATTAGTCCTGCATGATCTGCTGAACAATAAATACAGGTTCACCATGTCGATGACCCAGTATTGGGCTGTTTTCCCATGGCTGCCTGATCTGGTTTCATTCATGAAAATCGCATATTTGTGCAGCAGTTGAGTCACCTTCTTTGCTTTGAGGGCATTCATCAGATTTTCAGGAGATGGACTGGCTGAAAGATTTGTCACAGTCTCTTTCAATTTTGTGTCAACAAGATCCAAATTATGAATCAGAAATGTTTGGAAATGTAGTTTCCAAAAGGAGAATGCCATAATAGGATGTATGCGTTTACACCTATTAATATGTTTGCCACTTATAAAGCCCTTCAAAGAGCCACTGGCAATAACTCCTGAACAGTCCCCCTGAACAATCTATAAAGTGTCCCAGGCAAACAAAGTATGCCATGGATATGTGGAACGCTCCAAAGCAAATGTATACATCATCATAAACTGGAGACTCTTGTGCTTGTCTTTGCATAGCTAACTTTGCAACTGCCAAATCATAGGGAACAAGTGTATATTGTTCTCCACATTGCTGTGCTACTTTCTGGGATATCCATAATGTCTCAGGAACAACATTGAGCTGGGTTGGGGGATGTGTCAGATTCTCCATATATTGTATTTGTTGCTGTGGTAAACTGTCTTCTGCAAGTTGTGAATTATTCCATGTACATGCCATCATACATAAGGCATCGGTACACAAGCTTGATAGCATTTTTAAGGATCATCCTGGCTGCTGATATCATATTGAAACTGTCCCACTTTAGGTTTCTTTCTGAAGGTTCTAGTTCAATTTTATCATCTTGATATGAACGTTTTCTTGTTGATTTCTTTGGTGCACTATTGGTTTTGTCAGTGGGTGGCATACATGCTCCACTCATAGTAGCATCCATTGGAATATTTTTGAAGCAGTTTCATGCAGTGTACCCTTTCCTGACAGAGTCTCAGTGTTTTCATCATATACTGAACAACAAAAGTTTCTATGACATTGAATAAGATTTTATGCAATGTTATGTTTTTTACCAAATCTGAAACAATTTCGGTTTGCAACAGATAAAAGACTCCTGTAAGTGTTCAAATGGTTTAATTTGCCATACTGACTTCAGAAAATGCATGATTTCATAAAAAAACCCATGAACATGCCAAAATGTCAATTTACAAATCAATAGCGTGTGTGTCCACCTCTGGCTGTGATGCAAGGGCCAAATCTTCGCCTCATGGAATGGACCAGGCGTCACACAAAGTCCTGTGGGATATCTGTTCATATCTGCTGGAGCATGTTTTGAAGTTCCTGGAATGTCTTTGGAACCAATCCATCTCATCCCACATGTGCTCGAATTGTGAGAGATCAGGGGAGCGAGCCGGCCAGGGGATGACATTCACATTGTTTTGTTGAAGAGAATCCAGAACAAGTCGAACAAATGAGGCCAGGCGTTGTCATGTTGGAAGGTAATGCCTGGGCCATGACGACGCAAAAATGGTAGAACAACAGGGCTGATGATCTCGTCGCAGTAGCGCTGTCCATTGAGATTTCCCTCTACCACTATCAAACGGGTCCTCTGTCTTGCTGTAATCCCACCCCATACCATAATGCTGCCGCCCCCAAACCGATCTTCTTCCATAATGACACAATGATTGACGTAACGTTCACCTCGACGTCGGTACACTTGAATCCGTCCATCGCTGTGGCTGAGGTGAAAACGAGTCTCATCAGTGAATAGAACTTGTCCCCACTGCATTACCGTCCAGCGTGGACGCTGTCTGCACCACTGTAGACGTGCTTGACGGTGGTTTTCTGTCAAAATGGGACGTCTGGCGGGCCTTCTGGTGACAATCCCTGCACATCTGAGGCGGCGACGTACGTTTTGTGAAGATATTCGATGAAGGCCAGGGATGCTTCTTGCAGTCACTGTTGCTGGCTTGAATCGATTTCGTAGGTGTGTTATTCGAATCCAGTTGTCTTGTCGATTATTGTTGACGCGTGGCCTGCCACTCTGAGGATGGTCTCTGACTGCATCCGTCTGTTGCCAACATTGCCATAAACACCAAAAAGTGTTTCTGTGGACGTTAAATTGTCTTGCAACATCACGTTGACTCGATCCTGCTTCAAGCATACGGATGGCTCGCAGACGCTCATTTTCGGACAGGCGTGGCATTTCGTAATGTTGAATAGTTGCGTAATTTTGTTGTTTTTCTGAGTGGTTGTTGTCAACACGATGCTAAACAATGCATATGGAATCCCACATGTTTTTATACCCATTCTTGGGTAGGGAAATGCATGGGGCTTGCATAAAAGTCAACTTTTGCATGGAATGCATGCTTTTCTGTAGCAGTTGCGTATTTGTGACTTGATTCCATACATGTACTACAATATTGAAAACCAAACTTTACTTGTTTGAAAAACACACTAAAATATTGGTGTCACAGGAACTTTTGTTGTTGAGTATAGTTATCCCATGCAAGTCACGTTAATAATCCGGCTATACTTTTCAGTCCATAAGGTAGTGGAGATTCTGTCTTTGCAACTGTCACTGCCATATCGGTTTTGATCATTTCCCTCACATGATATCCAACACAGTGGCCCTAGCAATTTTAGATCCCACTACTTTGCGACTTCCACTGATACTTCTCAGTCCTAAGGCAAGACACTGATGTTTAGATGGCTTTATAAAGCCTCTGGAAGTTGCTAAAAGAGCATCCTCAGCTGAAGATTGCACATATTTCTCTGCCCTGACATGATCATCACATTTTATTGGAGACCCAGTTCTGAAGAAACACATCAAAGTGTCTGCTGGTTTTGTTGTTCCCTCAGCAATAATGCTTGGTGAAATGGGAAATGGGAGTTCATTTGATGATGTTTTGAGTCTTAGGATTTCTTTTCTCAGTACAAGGGCAGCTTCAACAACTCTAGCATAATTGTTTGTGGACTGCTGGTATGCATATTTCACTGCCTCGTCAACACCTAGCGACTTGCAATAAACTATTTTCCCTACTTTGTTTGAAAGTTTAGTGATTCCTATGTGATCTTTGAAATGTTTTAAAACCTTTCTTTCTTATTTGTCAGCCCTGTAATTTGAGGTGTTTATACCATTATCTGCCAGAAAAGGCAAGTAATTCTTGTGTAATGAGGTCAGCTTCTCTGTACCATTCCGCTCAATGATAGTTGTTTGAATATAACCCGAAAGCTGCTTGAAGCCTTTGTCATGCACTACCTAAAGGTTTATTTTTCTGGACCACTTGAAAATGGAGCATCACGGTAATTAAATGACATTTTTTTCTGCTCTCTTCACGTACTGTCGTTTGCATCAGTGATGATATTTTACCTCTTTAGAAATGACACCAATTTCAGCAAGCAACTTTCTGTCATCAAGAATGTGTGCTGCATTTTTTATATTCTCTGCTTCAAAACGCTCACATTTACCTGTATGCTCTCTGACCTTGCCAAACCTCTGGGTCAAAAGTTTGCAAAATATGCAGGTGTTTCCAAAAATGCCTTTAGTATGAATAATGTTGCTGTCTGACTGAGATCGTAAGAGACATGATTGGCTTGTTTCAG